TTTTGGTCCGATTGTTTTCAAATTGGTGTCGTCGGAGAGATCTTGTAAACGCGCACAACTCCTGGGTGGCAGAATTTTTTTTTCCTAGGGATGAAATTAACCACCTTTTGCAAGACGCGCGTCTTCGAAGGGTAGTCAACTTCAGGCACCCAAAAGACATCTTCCACTGCGAATTTTATCACGCGGTTTAAAGTTTCTTAAAGCTCAAATCGCGGTCTCTCTTTCTCGTGCCGCCACTAGAAGCCCGAGCTATGAGAAGTGTTCCAAAAATTGAGTACTATATTGTGAAGGGTTTTTAGCGAAATCTACCAACATGCGAATTGCGGGTGAACGGGACGTCGAAAGTGGGTACCGACAAAGAGCATGTGGTAGCCTTGGACAAGTTCTTATTGATAGCCTAGTCAAAACTTGCCTGTTACTGATCTGCCACACAAAAATGCGTTCCCTTCGATCTCACACGAGGACTTTGATAATTTTTTATAGAATGCTTTTACATACATTTTCGAAGGTACGTATGTAAAGGTGGCATACTTAATTAACGGTGAAACCTTAGCTGCTATTCTAAACGTGCGAAACAATGAACTAAATAATTAGCCCAAATGGAACTGTTCAAAGTGTGTATGGAAAAATATGCACAGCAGCTAATATAACTCATCAATTATTAAGTAGCAGGCAGTAAAGATTTCTCTAGAGCCCCTTTTCGAGATTTATAATTATGTCTGCTTATTCGTGTGTCCGTATTTACAACACGGCACATAGATATACACGATGTCCATTATTTATGGAATATAGTTTATATCTCGGTAAATATCGACTGTATACAAAATTTTTCTATATGAAAGTTGTTTAACATTTTATTTCTCATTATAAGGCAGCATTCCATTGTTTTTATTTCAGAAAACAAATGAATAACGAAAAAATCTCTAAATTAGCACACCACGCTCGGGGTTGGCGCCCAGATGTCGCCGACACCACATCATAATATGTAGCATCGTCCCTAAAGGTGTTAATTACCCGGCCCCGGTAGGTACATGTACACTCCTCGCCTTTCTACAAGCGTTCTTCTACTGGCCCGCATTTGCCCCCAGCCAGCCGACCTGCCAAGTGAGATTAAAAGTTACATTTTTACAAATGAATTTGCACAAATTAATAAAATAAATATTGTCAAAAAGATCGCCTCACAAATTTGCAGTACTAACGAAATAAACGTGGTATCGTAAGTCAAAAACGAATGAAATATATAGCGCTCCATTATTTTAATGTTGGAGGGCTAAAATCCTAAAGGTATCCCCCAAATGTTTATTTTTTCAGAATCTTTCTTTAGGGAAATGCGCAAACGATATCTTGCAACGATGAATCGTATAAATACCTACTCCGCGCTATCATAAGCTTACGATAGACTTATTTAACTCGGTTCTCCCTGCTCTTATTTTAATTACAATGACCCGCTTCATTTAACTCATCCCGAATATACAACGTGTAAATTTGAATTGGCAGGGCCTTTGTCTAACATTACGTAATAATTCTGAATGAGTTAGCAGTTAGGTAGAGGTGGTGTTAGGAGCGGATTTGTTTATTTGTTATAGATACGTTATGTTTTCGCATGTACGCGAATGTCGCTTCGGCTACGTTTTAAAAGTTCCAAATTATGTTGCAATCTTGGGGAATTTCCTTTAGCTTTAGTGTTAGCATATTTACACTACAGGGCGAATTTTAGTATTTGTTAGGGGTTGAAGATTAGTATAGAGTGTTGATACAATTTAGGGTATCTTGATGATTTTTTTGGTACGTAGTTACATGTATTCGTCTATGCGTACCTAGATAGGGTGGAATGTTCCATTTTACGTTGTAACACCTCGCAGGAAGGTGACTTTTAAAATCAATTACCTACGATGTTCGTCGTCGGGTTGTGTGATGGGTCAGGGTGTTGCTTGTTTTATGTGGGGGAGTAAAATGTTTATTGAATTTGTTTTTGTAATACCGTTATCCTTTATAAATTAATAATTTGTTGAGAGATGAGATAGATAATTGGTTTTCGAACCAAAATAAAAGTGATAAATCCTCTGGCCTCACCTGGGTATCGTTGCCACTAAAGCGGTTTCAAAACTGACAGGGCATGTGAATAATAACTATTCCCCCTGATTCGCTAGGACGCGACTTTTAAGCTTATGTTTATGATTCTATTTTAATTCTAAATGATTTCCCCCTGGCTAGGGAACTATCTTCGCTTGACGGCTTGACCCGGAAGTCAAGTAAAATTGAATCTTATATTTCCACACCTTTCCCCCACCTTTATGCCCGAGTATAAATCAGTTGTCCTCCTTTGAAGTTTCTATACAAGACCGTGGTATTTTACACCATCTTATTTTTCATACATGCCAAATGTAATACATTTTTCATGATTCTTGAATGTTTATGTTGGTTTAATACTGTTATGTGATGGGTCTCGAAACCCTACTTTGTATGCGAATATTATATGTATTCCTGTATTAAATAATGAGGCAGGTTATGTATGTACCAGCCTGAACATTCCCTGTATTATTACAAAGACAGTAATGTTCTAGCAAAAGGCAGGCGCCTGAGCTCTAAACGTAAACCATAATATGTGTATTTTTCGCCCGCGCAACCCTGGTGTGTATGTGGGTTCCGTTACATAACATCCGTAATAAATTCTTTAACAAGGGGGTTATTTCACGAAACATGAGTGACCTGTTGTTAACAAAGACTTAGTGTTTTTTTTCAGCTTTCTGATGGTACATTAGAAAACTTCATATCGCTTACAGGATTTCGAAAACGATGAAACCAAATTAATTCGTTTGTTGTGTCACATAGTCACCATCAACACGGCCATGTAGTCCAGGCTAAATAGCTTTAAAATAATTTATAAAAAAAAAATTAGTTACCGGACGAAACCGGGTTTTTCAGGCAGGTGAAATGAATAGAAATTGGGAAAAAATAATTAAAACAGCTGAATTTTTCCGCGGGTGAAATCCTAGGGGTTGAAAGGGGTGGAAAGTGGTATTTTGGAAATAGTACTATTAATTTTAGACGAAAATGTTCATTGTAAAAGTTATAGAGATTAAAAAAATTAGCAATTTTTCTATCTGCATTATTTTCATATATACCCTCAAATTTTCCTAGAAAAACCGGAAAAACTGGTTTTTTCGTTTTTTCTTCATATTTTTGCAAAGAAAGTCGTAGAGGTTTGAAATTTGGAGGAAACATAGCCTGTTTTATGATAAAAAAGAAGATAATTTTCTGGACCTGTAAAGTTGAACCGTTTCCAAGATCTCACGATTTCTGAAAAAAACCACCTCTTTTTCAAGGGGATGAAAAATCTATTTTTTTCATCGTACAGAGGTGCGCGGGGTAGCAAAAATTTCGTAAAGATTTACATTTTAATAATCAAAAATAAAAAATATTATTCCAATAGAAACATTTTAAGAAAAGCGGCAAAAACTGGGGGAACCGTTTTAAGATATACCGTTTTTGTCAGTAGGTAAATAGCTTTTTTGGAATTAAATTAATTTAATGTTGCTAAAATATTTTCTTTTGTTTCCCATTGCTCAACTGCCTTAATTAAAACATCTTTATTATTTCTTTTTTCTGCATTTTTACCGCAATAAAAGCAATTGGAAGTAAAATCGAATTCTTTTGCTTCCTGAACAATTTGTTTTTGTTCACTAACTCTTCTTCCTGCCTGTTTTACAGCTGATAGGATTAAGCTGGGTCTGTTGATCGTTAATTTACAGGAATTATGAATAAAATCCTCATAAAGTTTATTCCAGGTTTTACATCTCAAATCATTTGCTTGGGCCGGTAAAACTAACGTTCTTATTGCAGATTTTGCAAGTTTATCAACAGGCCCAACGCAATTGCATCAGCTATAAAACAGGCAGGAAGAAGAGTCAGTGAACAAAAAGAAATTTTTCAGGAATCAGGAAGCAAGATAATCCGATTTTATTTGTTTTTATTGCGGTAAAAATGCAGAAAAAAGAAATAATAAGATGTTTTAACTAAAACAGTTGAGCATATAACAAAAGGGGATATTTAAGCCAACATTAAAGAGAAACAAGAAGACAGATTTCGAAAAAATCTTTATTAACATCCAACGTGTTCATGTTCATTTATCATGTAAAAAAATCGTGTAGGTATATCTTAAATCTGTTTTTCCAGTTTTTGGCGATTTTCTCGAATTTTTGCTATAGGAATAACATTTTTTTATTTTTGTTTATTAAAATATGTCTTCCCGAAAATTTTGCTACCCCGCACACCTCTGTACAATGAAAAAAATAGATATTTCATCTCCTTGAAAAAGAGGTGGTTTTTTTCAGAAATCGTGAGATCTTGGAAACGGTTCAACTTTACGGGCCCAAAAAATTATTTTCTTTTTTATCATAAAACAAGATATGTTTCCTCCAAATTTCAAACCGGATTTTTCAGTGAAGTTCTCGAATAATCGAATCCAAGGAAGCCATTTTCGTTGAGCAGTAGCTATCAGGGCCCGAGGAAACTTTGTTCGTTTTCAAAAGTTTTTCCATTATTTGTTTTTATTTGATTGGAAAATTAAATTCGAACTTTTGGGCTTTGCTCAAATAAAACGTGACTATGCAAGTATGATTAAACCTTGGATTAAACCAAGTAACAAATCAAAACTCTCTGCGAAATTGTGGGGGTGAATTTTATGCCCGATTTACTTCATATACTGGTGGAAAGACACCCGTTTTAGATATAATTTTGTCCACAATTTTTGAGAAAGGACCGTACCCACGTCGGTAGCCTCTTATGCTCTTATTTGATTCTTCTGAAATTGTTTAAAAATCAAACAACAAATACACTCTCCTATAAACTACTAAATCAACATTGATAATGACTTCTCATCCAGGAAACTCGTTTCAAGGAAAATTCACGTGTAATTGCCAGATCAAGAATGGACATGACCTACCTACTCACAATGTCTAAATATTTTCATTCTTAACATAGAAATTATATAATCGGCTCATACACCTCGAGGTCATCATGTCACTTTAACTTCGTTCCGAATATTAATCGATCAGGAAATTGTGAATTGGGGTTAGTTGTCGTTTTCTTCGGTCCACAAAGAAGCGACAAGGAGTGCCATATTTCACTTGCTTGGGCGCATTAACAAATAAACATCTACCTGTACACGTTTTCTCACGGTCTAACGTGGGGATTACCTTCTAATAATAATAACACACGACTTGGCATTGTACGTAGATATGAACGTGGAAGAATGACTGGGTGGGTAATGAACAATCCGTTAGCAACCTACAAAAACATTGTTAAAAATCTATGCCATTAGGTATGTCAGTGAAACTAAAAGTCTCTACCCGATTGTCGACAACGAAAATAATGCAGAGCAGCTTGCAAAAATAACTGTTGGTGCTAATTATCATTATATAGATGCGTATAGAAATTGCGCTTAGATTCGGCGTACCACATGTCCAATTGCTTACTTTCTGTGAAATAGTTTACCAGTTGAATGAGTAGGAATTTGAAAACGAAATGACCAGTATACATTATTCATTAAGCGATCATTTAAATTAGAATACGTTTCACACAATTTCCTTCTGATTAATTTTATCGATCCGTGAAAGCTCCAATGGTACCGATCTCTTCTTGCATCCTTGACACCACAATCTCAGTTTCAAAAGTAACATTTTAGAAGATTCTCACTTAAATACGTTGATTTTTGTGCAACAGCGATGACCTATTTGGATAAACTGAACGTGTAATTTATAAATTAAGTTTTAGGCCTTTACTTTGATGATGGACAGACAGTTAACTTTCTTGGTAGATCCATGCCGAGGTCCTTTACACTCAGAATTATCTGTCTCTATGATTCTGTTTTTTGGTCGCAGTTCAAATCCAGTGACGACCAAATTCTAGGTCGATTGGTATCCTTAACATTAAATGCGATTTAAGTGGTATAGTCAGAATTCAAGAAGAAATCAAACCCGCAACTCGAATGGTAACAGAGCAGGAGCGCAATCACGCCTAAAAAAATAAAGTTTAGTGTTGTTTCTATTTTTGAATTTTAATTATTTTGCTACCTTGGAGTAGTCTCGGTCAAGTTTGCAAGTCGCAATTTCCGTGTCACTCACCTAGAAGTAATTTTTGACCAAAAATAAAACAAAGTGCAAAGATTTCCCTGGCTTTTGCCTCGTAAATATGCGACTTGGACAAACAAGTATCATATTATTTACCATTTCCAGTTCTATATTCAAATTTATCACCAAAAGTCTTTAAACCATTTTGCTATCTAAGCCTGATGAGTCATAGTCACCGCAAAGTATTACGTGGGGAAATTCAGCGTCTCAATCCGTTAGATGGATGTCAAGATTCAAATTTGTAACGCCTATTTCATAAATAATGATGTGACTCTAATTTATTGCAAATAAAATAATACCTGTTTCTTGAGCAGTAAGAAACATTACGGATGATTATTACATTGATATTAATAATTAACGTAGAGTGCATTTTTTAAATAATGCATAACCGTGGAGTTCTTTCTTAATGTGCCAAGGAAAAGACATTTGCATACAATCGAATTGGTAACTTCATAAACATAATGAGAACATCTAGTTAGGTAAGGGGTCTTTCAATTTCCTAAATTATAGATAAAACACTCACTTTGGCTTGCTTCAAAAGACCTTTTATTGATTAACTATAATGTAGGGCACAAAATCGAACAATCTTTTGTATAGTATGTACATATGTGGAATGCGAATTATTCTACCTACCTTTTCACATATAGAGAGGAAATAGTTTAGTGCTTTTGGTCGCCAGCATCTATTGACACGTTTACAAATAGATGAGCAATGGATTTAAACTCCCAACAAATTGCAAACGAGTGTTGTAGTTCCCAATAATTAATTGCTTGAGAAACAGTGTTGGAGGTGCCGGAGTAAAGTGTTTTAAATAAATTAATTGCGATTATGATTTTATTACTAAACCACTTTCTATATTAATTGCTTACTAAATTGCAAGTGTTGAATTAATTGCTCTATTTATAACTTGTTAATTAAATGAGAACTGCTTGGTGACCCCGCCTACTTGTAAAATTGCCTTAATTCATTCTTTCTGTATTAATGATTGCCTAGTACTTGTCTATACAATTTTATGCTATGCGATCAAAAATGAGTTGCTGTCACCTTTGTATAAGATATGTTCTGAATGCCGTAATGGATGGAAGAAAGAAGCAGTTACATGTGTTTTAGGAAGCCGTGATAACCAAAAAATTTCATATGAAGGCGAGATAATTTCTTAAAAATTTTGACAATAGGTGTGCAGTAAAAAATTAACGCCAATTATGAATGCACCTAAGCTGGAAATAAGCAATTAATTAGAGAGTTGTTTGGCATTAAAACCAGAGCGAGTAGCTGGCACCCCCACACAGTTTCCATTTTTTTAACGAGTGGAGGAATGGAGCAATTAAGTTCAAACTTGCAATTTACTAAGCAATTAATATCGAGACTGGTTTAGCATTAAAACTATAACCTCTAACAGTTAGCACACAATTAATTAGATATTTTATCAAAAGGAAATAACATAAAAGTTAGAAACAAATTTTTTAATACTCGTTTGTATTTCGAGTTTTACCTATTCTTGAGGGTTCGAGCTTACCCCAAATTTCAATAAAAAGATTCTGAGAAGTGTAACGAGTTTAAGTGCTCTAATATTAATCCGTATCGAGGAAGTAGAAATCTAGTTTAAATTCAGCCGACATAAATGAAATATTTATTGCCCCATTATTTTTATACAACAAAACGTAACTGTACGAGGAAGATTCAAGAACACTGTACTCAATTTTACCATGTCTATATTGTTCAGTTGCCATCTTTTCGAGGAAAAGACGTACCGTTTGTACCTTAGGGAAACCACTGATTATAGAAAACACTCGAATTAAGGTAACCACAACTTTTTGATTTGTATAAAAATTATGATCGGTTCTTTTTAAGAAATTGAGTTACGTTTTGAATTTGTATCTTATTTAATAATCATTAATTGAACACATCTAAAGGAATTTTGGTTGTTTTCATTCGGAAATTGAATATTCATTTTAAATGAGTTTCGATTCTTTTAGTTAGGTAGCTATAAGGTGGAAGTTGCCATTTTTCTTATTGTTATTGAAGTTCAAATAGAGGTAGGTCACGTGACGATATTAAACCCCCCAGCTACGATTATGAAATTAATAAAAATGGCTAGAGGGTACCTTAACTATGCGTTTTCAAAAAAAAATGTTCAAGAGAAGCCCCAAATCTGAGGTTATGTTACCTATTTTTTGTTTTTCTTAAGTTAATGAAACTGAAAAATGTGATCGCTTCAGAAGTGACTGCTGCTTCTTGTAAAAGGTTATGTTAACTTCTTCGTCTAGTAAATTGAAATTGCGGGGTTTAACATTAATGTAATAAAAGTAGTATAATACGTATAATTTACAATACTCGACGACCGAGAGGGGAAACTCGGGGCACTCATCGCATCTTCCATAGACCGGCATCGGCGGCTTTATCATTCGAAATGGAAAGAATACGGTTCGCATCTTCCATAGATCGCTTCTTTGTTATCGACCGGCGGTAAACTTCGAACGCCTTTTTCGTATCAGCCGGTGACTAGCATTATCACGTATCACTCGAAAAGGGAAGGGACTTATTTGGCCAATATGTGTAATCATTTCATTTTAAATTTGTATTTATCTTTCTGCAGTCAAACCAGAGCGCCAAGTTCTGATTTTCAGATTTAGCCAGCCAAAATGTCATGATTTTCAAAATGGCAAACTGCGAAATTTATGGGTATGTATCTATTTCGCTTACAATTTGCACTTTGACCGATGGGCTCCACATGCTTTCCAAAAATGATTTAAAAAGGGTTTACCATTTTCATTAATTGATGGAATAGGGAATACGACTTTTTTCTTTCGGCTCTGTCTGGACGGTTCTGGTGGGACAGATCATAAACACGTTGACCACGTAAAAAGTTTTAGTTGGACGCCGTTTTCTAAGATGGTGGTCATTAGGGAATGCAATCCCGCAGCAAAATCTCAATTCCGGTATTTGCGGGATTGTTAGATGTTAATCCCGCGGGATCCCGGTATTTCGGGATCTCGCAAAACTTTAAATAAATTGGCAAATAAGCAATTCTGTGCGGTTAACTTCTGTATTAAAATAAATCGCTAATTATCACAATATTTAACAAAAAATTACCTTCGGCCTAACTTAAAACTCAAAAAAACCTTACCTGTAAAGCACAAAAAGTCTTCTAAGGTACCTCAAAAATCATAGTACATTTTTAACGAAAAAAGTTTAACAATTATTTAAAAAATAATTCGCCGTTATCAGTTTCATTAACAAAGTAAACAGAGTCGTCCCCTTGGTCGACAAATTCTTCAGTCCCGCAAATCCCGCGGGATCCCGCTGTATTTAGGTATGTGCGGGATTAATCTCGCAAAAATGCTGCGGGATCCCGGTATTTCGGGATCCCGCAATCCCGATATTGCATTCCCTAGTGGCCATATATTATAAATATTATTAGTGATATCAAATGATGATACTATACTAAATAGTAATTGTTATTGTGTATATTTTGATACTACCGTGAGTTATATAGAATGGTATGGTATGAACGCTCCGATAACGGCATTGTTTTATATGAAAACGCCATTTAAGGAATTCAAAATGGCCGCCGTTCTTACTTATCACTGATAACAGTTAACATTTGCATATTCTGTGCCGCCATCTTGGAAAACGGCGGTCATCTTAAATTTCTTAAGTTGCCACCGTTTACATATCATGAAATAATAATAATAGATACCTACCACTAATGATAGTTAATATGTGCCGCCATATTGGAAAACCGGTGACCATATTGAATTTTTTAGGTGGTCGCCGTTTTTATATAAAACAGTACCCCAGGGGCATTCATACCAAATGTGTTATACTTGTATCTGAACGATTCAATGCATTTTCTGGCATCTACCTGCCCCACTAACTTAGCTATATGCTCAACTACCCCTCACCTCATTTTGAAACTGTCTTAAGTAAAATGAAATAGTTTCTTCGTTGGATTGGTGCACTCCGATTGGAAATGTACAATACCTAGGACTGGTAGCATGGAAGATTCGGGTACAATAAAAAGATAGGTACTAATCGGTTCAAGGTTTAGGAGGGCATACACAAAAATATGCTCTAATTTATTTATGTGTAGTTTTCCTAATTCCATAAGTGTCTAAAATCCAAGAAAAACAATCGGAATACTATGGAGCAAATCTTCCTTATTGGTTAAATGGGGTTGAAATAAACTCCATGAATTAATTACTGGGTAATAAGTGGACATTTTCATTGCAAGTGAACTAGGAAGTCCATAGCTAGCTTTGATATACAATAAACCGCATTTTAATTTATTTCTTCGTCCGAAGAGCTGGCTGGGAATTCCGTAAGGCGCTGGTATCTCCCAAGAGACTACTTCAATCCCGTAGTACACTCTGTGTCAGTGAAAAGGAATGCTGAAAAATGGTTTCCACACCACAACAATGTTTACATGATTTACCTGCCCCTGTACTTCATATTTTTCACCCCCGCCCATTTGCCTCATGAAGGGTTTCGGACCGACACCATCTACACTGGTCGGTTGTCACATTTTTGCTTGCAACCCATGCAATATCCTGCAAAGTAGGTACTCCAAGTCATATTTTTCTAAATTCGTTCATTATTAGAATTTAATTTGAATTAATTTTGAAGCCGGTCTTCTAATAATGACGTACTATCAACTTAAAAATATCTCTTAAATCACAAATTTCAGAAGTCCAAGGGCGACATGTTATAGTCGATTGCCTTTCTCCGCATTGTTCTATGGAAAATCATGCGAGCATGATTAATAAGTTCAATTATAAATGTGCACATCTACCTATACCGGTTTTGGTTCCGTGAAGTGAAGAGTGCAAAATCAACCCATAATATGGGTCACTTTCTCACATGCTTGCCTCATATTCCCAAAGTTTGCACTGATTTGATTTTTTTTTTGCGATCGAACTACCGGCGAATAATTGGATAAAAAGTAGAAGATTAATACAAACATTAATAGTAAAGGAGCCTTGTGACCGTTATCCAAGTGTGGGTCAGCAAGTTAGCGGTAGTCTGTAGGTCGATCAATGCTGCAGGCTGAAGCAGGATGT